TGACAGCCACAGACCATTTTGCCCTTTGCTTCTTTAAAAATCTGGACTTTTATTAAAAACCCAACCAACCAAAACAAAAGTCTTCTGGAGGAACAAAGTGGCATGAGTCTGTTCTGAGGAAGTTAGCACACAGCACTCCAGGGAAGCCAGGGAAGTGATAACTGCTCTGGAGATACCTGGTGGGCTGTACCAGTGAGAGTTTTTGGGTACAGTGATGCACCTCCGCCACAATCCAACCGTGCCGTTGCACCGGAAGAGCGCATCCGTGTATGTCTTCTCATCTGCATCTTTGCTGACAAACTCCTCCCAGATGCTCCTCCCGGCCTCACTCATGTTCTCGGCTGGGGACTGGGTGCGGTACTCGTACCAGAAGTCGGTGCCGATGGAGGCAGCCATGTAGATGGTGGAGATGAGGCTGAGCACGCAGGCGATCACCAGCGCTGTGGCAAACCGGTTATCCATCATGGCGCCCTGGCCGGGGACACAGGGACGAGTGAGCAACGCTACAGTGTTATCCCAGCAGCGCCATACTCATCAGCCCCCTGCTGCACGGTCCCCTCAGGATATGCAGGCCTTCCTTTTCCTACCTGCTGGAACCAGGAACACTGAGAAAATCTTCAGTGCTGGCCAGCATCCACTGGATCTGCCAGTTCCAAGTAGGGATGATTTCCTGGACAGTGTGCTCTCCCAGCCACACTGCACTGGCTGCTCGCCCTACCAACTCATCCCCAAAGCAGATGACACAGCTCGCTGCCATTTGTGATCCTGATTGTAGGGAACGTCAGAGACTCCCTCCACAACGCCCAGGAAGAAGACTTAGCTTTCCTTAAGAGATTACCAAGAGTAGAAGTTATTTTTATCCTGCCACCACATACGGCTTTCACAGCTTGTGTTTACAGCAAAGATAAGAACCACAGGCATGCCGAAAAAGCCCTTCGAGGCTGCTCACAAAGGGCAGCCATGCCAAGGTGCTGGAATGCCTTTAGGGAAGAGAGAAATGTATCTAGGCACTAGAGACAGAACATGAAGGAAGCACTGGAAGACAAGTTTGGAAATAATGGTAAATGCTGCAATAATGCTACAATATATACCATGGTATTTTTGAAGACCTAGAACAACGCAGGGGGGTGCCCTGTTTCATGGGAACAATGGGACAAAACTGAAAGGCCTTCGTATGTTCCCACAAGGCCTCTGCTCTGTGTCCCTCTCTTAGGATCCTTTGTGGGGTCGTGCTCCCAAATGGCGTAGATTCAGGGTCAAAGGAGGCATGGGGAAAACACAAATATCACACATGCTTATGACAATACCATAATTTTAATGAGTAACTGACTGTAATATGAGAGAAATGTTTTGTGGCTGAAATGCACCAAAGGACTCCTCTCAGATGCCAGTTGTTCTCATGTGCTTTCTGTGCTTGATTAAATTTATGGATTACTATGAATCAGGCTTGAGGCACTTGATAGGAAAAAAAAATTGAAACTAGCTCAGCAGCTAGAGGTAGGCTGTGGTAGGAGCTACTATCTAATCAGCTCGTCTCTTGCTTGCCTCCTCCCTTCTCCCACACACTTTGATCAAAATATTTTGCTCTACTTTCTTTCAACTAAAGAAACCGCAACTGGAAACAGTAATGACTTAAAGCTCAACATTCACAAGAAAAAACAGTGAAGTTTTTTTCAAGTCAGACTTGTCAGTAAGAAATTATGAACTAAGAAACGAACTGCAAATTAAAGAAGGGAATTTCAAAGGCATCAATGTTTGCTGTTAACAGCACCATTCTTATTTCTTTTCCTCTCCATCTGCTCCTCTATTTGTCTGAAACTGGCTTGCAAGGAGGAGAAATTATGTGTTCCCATATCATTTCCTATGCTTCATTTCCATATTAAATGAGCCACACTCTGCAATATCCATCCTTGAACTGCATCCTTAGCAATGAGAAGGAATAGAACTGATTTGTGGTGAACTAACAAGAAACATCCATTTAAAATACTGCAAAGTTTGCATACCACAACTTACTTAAATAATAATCTACAAACTGTGAACTTTTATAAGACAATAGAAATATTGAGAGGGAGAACACATCATATCCAGTTTTATTTATGTGGAAAACATAGAATCAAGCCCAGACTTGGAAGCAAATTCTCTGTGGAGTATTTAATCCCTGGTTATGTATTTCCACTCTCTTTCTATATCCCAGTGACTTGCTCCAGGCACACAGGATATGGGATAGGGAGAGCAAGCTGTTGTATAGATCTGACCTCGCCATTCAGCCCCACTGAGCCAACTGAGGGATCCCTGCCCCTTCACACACTGCCCCCGAAGCAAACAGAGCAAGCGGCACCTGCAGGGCCAAAGCTGCTGCCCAGCTGAGCTCAGAGCTGAGCACATCACTCTCTGAGCAAGCAGCAGAACAGGCTGCTGAGCAGGCTGGTCTGGATCTTCCACTATACTGCAATCACATCTGCTGCAAGAGGAACTCTCTGCAACACTCCTCTCTTTAGGAAGGGTTCTCTCTGGGTGGAAGGATCACAAGAACTCACAAGCTCCATCCTCAGAGTAGTGGCTGGTGACAAGGAATGTAACCAGGGCCACAGATCTGTTGTCACTACCTTTCAATATAAATACTGATAATGACAAAGCCCTATCAAATTTATACCTAAGTCAGAGAAAGAAAAGAACTGGCCCAAAAGTCTTACTTTCAGCTAAATATCCCTGCTGCCACATACAGAGCACTGCTGCTGGCATTATCCCATTATACCAGATCACCATTAAAAAACAGCCACATGCCGGACCAGCCTTCTGTGAGCTGATGTGCTGTGAACACGGCAGAGCTGATGTCAGCTGGCAACCAAGAACAGGTCATAAGCAAAATGAAGGCTTAATCACCAAACAGCAAATTAAAGCTTTGGCCTGTGTTCATTATCTACTTGGTAAGTGGGAGATGGCGATCTAGTGAACACTCAGTCCATGTAATGTTACTGCAGGCATTGGTAGAGAAGAGCCAAGGGGGCTACAGACCCCAAAATCTAGCGAGTGGCTTTGTGTGGCCTTTGTCCCAAAATGACTTTCAGTATGGGCAGGACAGTGACAAGCAAGGTAAGAGTGGGCCCACAATTCCTTACAATAAAGGTCCCCTCAGTGCTTCTGCCCAACACTTCAACTGCTTACAGAAAAGATGAAGAACTCCACAACACTTCATGCAAAGGTTGAACCAGTTTTTCCTGTCAGTGAAGAAGACTTGCCCATTCACTGTGCATCTCCATTGCATCTTCATCTACAGGAAACAAGCTCTCCCTTAAATGAGGTGTCCTTTAAAAGAGAAAACCATCCTGCCAGCCCCAGGCTGAGCTCAAAGGAAGCAGTGAGCACAGCCAGTAAAAAATAGTGACCAGAGAAAACCATGAAGAAACACACTGCCTGTTTATGGGATTAATGCCACGCTTTGCAAAAGATTCTGTGCAGAACAATGTGTAGGAGGTGCTTTAGAATAAACTTACTTATGAAAAAAATAACATTACTATTACCAAAGATTACACTAATTATAAGGACATAAAGATTGATAATAAATAAAAATGCATTTTATCCACAGGCTATCAACAAGACCCTTCATTGTTTTAACAGGTATGTTTATATAGCTCTGACAGCATGCTTTTGCCTAGCAGAAGATGCTATTTCAGACAAATTACAGCTGAAACTAAGCTATGCAATGAATTTAAGATAACACTAAGTAGTTGTAAACAGGCAAAAGTGCTTAATGAGATACTGCAATTATATTAATTTTTTAAAAGAAGTGAGACACATAAAAATCTTTACATTTTAAGAAAATTTTTGAAAAAAGCTCAAAAAAATGAACGTAAAGGCCAAACTGGAAGCAATACTCAGGAGAATGACTAAATCGTATGCACTTCAAAGAAGGGAAAAACAAAGCAGACAAGTCAGTAGAGTTGGGAAAGAAAAAACAGAGAACGGAACAAAAACAAGTATTCTGGCAAAAAATCAACTCTAAGACTGAAGACTGGACAGTCTTTGTAAGAAGTTACTGTACCATGGCAGAAGGGAATACAAAAACATGCATATTTTTATCTTGTTGCTGAGGTCACTCCTTTCAGCCAACAGCGGGTCACCACATTTAAGAAACTCCTTTTACATGACATCGCAAAAGAGTCCCTGGTGCATTCGCTGGCATTCTCTCAGGAAACATGCCAGCAATCAGAAAGGGATTAGAAGGCCTGAAAGAGGGGGCAAATATGGGGAGAGGGCTGGAAACAACACCAAGCTGGATCAGGTTGACAAAACGTTAGGAAAGATTGCTACCAAATACTTTTTTTACCTTCAGAGATGCTCAGAGTCCCTCAGGACACACAGCTCCGATGATTCCAGGTCTCTTCAGATGCACAGCGTTGTTTGTGTCCTGTGGCCAGCGGAGAGCATGAAACGCAAACTTCCCTTCTGCCCTGACTCTTCCATTCATTCAGCTTCTTCCACACCACCAGTTCATAACAAGTGACCTACAATCAAAGAGCAAACCGAATGGCTGGACATCATCATTTTACTCTGAAATTACTTCACAGACATCTCCCAGTGCTATCATTAACGAAAAAAAAAAATAATAAAGCTAAGATGGAATGGGGAAATTACTTGAAGAGCCCTCAGGCCAAGAGCACCTGTCCCGCAGGATCAGCCCAGCACCGGGCCGGGCCGGGCCGGCCGGGCATCCCCACGGAGCGCCACCGCCCCCGGGGGTCTAGGGCCTCCCAGGCGGCAGCCCCGCGCGGGGGGCAGCAGCTGTGGACCGACAGCAAACCCCAGGGGAACGGCCCGAGCCCTCAGCCCCATCTCCCGTCTCCGCCCAACATCCCCTCACCACCCGGCCCGACCCGGCCCGGCACCCACCGCCCATCGCCGCCGCCGCCGCCGCCTCGCACCCGGCCCGGCCCCGCTTCCGCCCGCCGCGCCCGCTCGCGCGGGGCACGCTGGGCGATGTAGTTCTGCCGCCCTCTTCCGGAGGCGCTGGCCTCAGCAGCCCTTGGTCAGCCCTTCCCGACGGCTCCTCGTCCTTTCCCGATGGCTCCTCGCCCTTCTCCATGGCTCCTCGTCCTTCCCGATATCTCCTCGTCCTTTCCCGATGGCTCCTCGCCCTTCCCGATGGCTCCTCGCCCTTCCCCGTGGCTCCTCGCCCTTCCTGATGGCTCCTCGTCCTCCTGTGGGGAAATTTTTGCTCGTGGCCAGCCTGAACCTCCCCGGCTCTGTGTCCTCCCCTCCTGTTGCTGTTTACCTGGGAGAAGAGGCTGATCCCCACCTGGCTGCACCCTCCTTTCTAGTTCTTTCTGTTTCTCTTGATTGCTTGTAAAAAATGGTGATATAACACCATGGCTGAATGACTCGAGAAAACACCAAGTAAGGGGGGGAAAAATCGGGAAAAATTACAAAAATTGGCAGCACTGGCTCCATGCCCCAAACTGGCCGTTTCCTTCCACCCCGATGCACAAAGCCGTGGAAATGACCAGAGATTCTTAGAAGTGGTTAACAACTCCCATGGCTGAGAGACCAGCCCACCCAGTCTGGGTTTTACAGAACTCCAAACAAGGAAATATTCAGAAAAAAACCCCAGAAACATTGAGGCTTTCACACCTCTGAGGAGTTCTGGGGAACTATCCCATCCAACTCTTCCACCAAACAGCCAGGGAGCATTGTTGCAGCCAGGTTAGCAACTACAATGCAAAGGTGAAAGAAGTCTTAGAAGAAACTTCTTGGGTTTGATGCAACATTAATTTTTAATTTAAAAAAAATCAGAAATTACATTTGATTTAAGAAATTTCTGTCTATATGCCCCACTTTCTGGAACGTGAAGCTGTCTCACCACGACCTCATAATGTAGCTGTCTACAAAGGCATATTTTGGGTCTGTCTGGGATTAATCCTGGACTCTAAATACTTGACATTTTTATCAGTGACTTGGAAGAAAGCAGAGTATTGCTGATAAACCTCACAGATGACACGAGGGAAGGGTAAATAATGACATGGAGAAGATACTGGGACAGGGTGACCTGATCGTGTTGCAGCTGGGGCAAGCAAACATGCATTTTAATAAGGTCATTGATGAGCTCATTAATTTAAAAGCAAAGACTGGAGTCTATACTTACCTGACCTGAGATTTTATCCTGGGAAACGAAAAATGAAAAGGAAAAATGTTGGTGAAGTACCAACTGCCAAGAAGTGGCCCTCCCCCAAAAAACCCTAACTTTCCCGTAACCTCAGATGTACAAACTGAGAAATCACAAGGAGGAAAGATGTGGTATCACATCTAGAATTGCTGCTGACTCTGAAATAGCACATCTAGTTTTGATACGTTGACAAAATAGAGATAAACCTGAAAAGGGATATGAAAATCACTGAGCAATTAGAAAATCTCTCTCAATGAAATATATCACCAAGGTCAGCCAATTTTATTTACTGAAGAGGAGTTTATTTAAGGAGCTAAGTTATTGAACTAAGGACTTGCCAGACTATAAAATATGTGTAGTAGCAATAGGGAAGAAAAAAAACAGGAACTTCTTTCTGTATACCTGGAAAAGCTATCACAGCTTGAAGCCAGAAAACATTAAAAGAAAAAAAATTCAACAAAACCCCTGTGTATTCTAAGCCATGGTAAAAGCAGAGTCTGAACCATTTACTGTAAAGTCCAGTGAATTATCTAACACTGGCACATCTTCAGTTTTTCTCCTAAAAGATCTAATTTAGTAAAAATGAAAATCAATTCTGAAAAACTTTGCAGCCACTGCTACTTGCATTATTAAATTAGGCTACAGTGACCTCTTCTTTTTCTTAATCTGCCCTGATCAATGTGAAATGTGCAGCTGCTCAAAAGCATCCAGAGTGAAGAGATGCATTTTCATTTTATTTACTTATAATAAAATACTCTCTACAGACTTTGCCTGGATGTTTTTTTGCTGGAAAAATACCCTTCTATATCAAAGAGTAAGCCAGTAAAAACATTACAAGTGAATGCACGGGGTCATTCCTTGCAACAACTATCTTTTTTTCTTTTTTCTCTTCCTTTCACACCTCCTCAATGTGCCTCAGCAAAACCGCTGGCTGATCTGTTTAGTTACAGAACAGGATCAGTTGGGAAGATTTTAAAAGTAAAAGTTTGCTTAATTTACAAGCACAAAGGGAATAATACTGAGGGCTGTAGCATAAATGCTGCTCTTGCTTTTTGCAAAAGTATCTGTGCTAGCAGACCTGGATCACAAGCATTACTCACTTCTCAGGCACTGACAGAGAGTTTAACATCAGAGTGCTGCAAACAGAACAAACAAAACCAAAACCCCAATATGTTGCAAAAAATAATTAAATTGTTTAGTACAAAATTTTAGTTCTCACAATCTAAGGAAATAAGTAAACATTTGTAGGAGGTGGCACTGTCTGTATTAAATGAAGCTGACAGAGGATGAAAAAAGAACAAATCCCTCTTCATATATCACATTCACACCAGGGTTATTGATTCAGACCTTAAAAGGCATTCAAAAGTCTCTGCCTGTTTTTCCCAAAACTATGAGTCAACTTACAAGATGCCACCTCCCACAAGAAATATTCTTTTTGCAGTAATAAAAAGGGCAGTGTTAATTTTAGGTACCATCTATGAGCATTTTACACAGCCTGAGTGAGCAGAAAATCCTCTGATTCCCCTCAGACCTCTCTATGCAGTTTGCCTGGTTTTATTTCTGCCTTCTTTATTTTTCTTTAATATTTTTGTGGCACAGGACACAGTAGTATAATTTTCACAGACAAAAAACCTTCTAGATGTGCTTCTCCCAAATACCATGAATAGCACTGGGGCATTATAATGATACTCATCCTCTATGTCAGTGGTTTCCACATCTTTTCATCATGTACCTTGTCAGTAAAATCTTTTTGAGCAGGCACTCATAATGTAAATATTTTTTTAAGTATACACATGTACTACCACACCAATATATAATGTACATTATAAAACAACAAAAATATAAATTAAAAAAGGATGAGATAAATGGCAAGAAACAATAATTAATATTTAAAGAATAAGTGTACAAAAATATTTTATTCCTGCACTGCATTTTCTAGACCGCTGCTCTCAGCACAAAACTATTTCAGTCTATCCTGATGCATTGCCCTCAGTGGCCACAATTTTACCTGAACAAGTTCCACCCTTTCCTATTTGTTGAGGGATGAAACTTCCATTGGTTAGCCTTCATGTGGTTGCCTCTGAGCATGCCTTTAACTAGTCATAGCATAATAGGACAGTTTCAGCCAATTTAGTGTAGGCTTTTTGATTTTTTCTTTTTTTAATTAAGTCTGTTTCTTACATGGTTTTTAAGTGAAATCATTCAGAAATGACTACACTTTATTTTACAGCCAAATGAACCTCGGTCCTTCTCAGCATTTATCACTATTAATAATTTACAGACATGCAGCTTATTTTATCTAGATGACTGTGCTTATAAAAAGCCCATGTACGAGCTGGAATAAAATGACACTTAAACTATTAGTAAAAAATAGGGTGTAAAACAACAATAGCAACAAAAGAACAAAAAATAAACAACCAAATAAACCAAATCCACACCTTGCTACCTGAAATGCTTCAACTGCAGAAATTTCTAAGGGGCGGGTGGTGTATGTAAAAAAAGAAAATCAGCAACACTGCCTACTTCCTGTGAAGATATTTTCCCCACAAATTATATGACTTCCTGCCACAATACAGGTATCACAGGCGGTGCAGAACCATGAACAAAGACACGAAAGCTTTTCCCTTGCTGTTGTTGGAAATACCTCCGCATTCCTATGAGGAAGATTTGAGGAATGATGCAAACTCTGACCTGGCAGATCTCACAGGTGCATTTGAGAGAGGCAGAGCCATCAGAGAAACACACAGCCAAAGGCAGATCTGGCCAAATGCAGGGCCACCATCAATACCTGCTCTGAATACTCAGAAGCTTCATTTTTTTTTTTTTCAGAGCTGCATCAAGGCCTGGACAAGATGGGTATCTCAGATTGAAGAACATACATCTGAGCCAAACCAGTAGCTGATTGCTTCAGCAGAGAATTTTCAGGGGGGAAAGTGTTTGGTGAAAGTGTTTACATGTATCTGGTGAATCCTGGGAGGAGGAAAATGCTGTGGGAATACTGGAGTAGGATGAGGAGAGGATGGAGTCTGTCCTCCTGAGCTTTCTGGAATATCTATACAGGGGTGTTAGGAGAGGAATTTCCATGTACTCAGTATTTTTGATAGCTTGGCTCTGTCTCAGGAAAAAGAGATGTGTGAAGAGTAAGGCACTACATGATGCCTTAAGTGAATCCCTATCACATAAAAACACCCCAGACTATGGACAAATATGCCTGCTGCTGCTCCACTCAGATAATTACACATCACTTTATTATTCATAAGAATGCTTAAATTATCTTCACAACTCTTCTGCCCAGATAAGGAAGTGTCACATGTGGAATATGGCAACATGCAGTGACATCCCTACGTCTGCTTAGAGCATTCAAGAAATACACAGCAAATTCAGTACAGAAGAGTTGGTCCCTGTTGGAAAAGGTTTACTATTTAATTTTTTATTTTAGTGAGTAAGGCTATTAATCTAAAGGGAGACAACAAAGTAAGAAACAAACACAGGAATACACATATATAAAAATGTCTTTATGATGCCTTTAAGCTTTTTTAAGTTATTAATTTTTTTGTTTGCGATGAGATAGAGAGGGAAGGAGTGAATTTCAAGGAGTATGAAGTAGTGTGCAATGGAGGGAAGAGAAGTTTGTGTCTGACTTCTAAAGCTTGTAAGCTGTTATATTCTAACTGCAGAGTAAAACAAGACAGAGTTCCACCTTTGCAAGAGAGGCAGAACAAGTGTAGAATTGACTGTAGGGTTCAGCTGGTCTCCTGCCCTAGTACTAATAATGCCTCTATTTCCCAGTGCTTCTTGGAAAAAAAACAGAAAAACCCAAAACAAACCAAAACTAAAACACATTCCTTGAAGCAGAAATAAGCAAAGATCACATAAAATTCACCTCTGCACTGAATTCATCAACCACTGTTTTTGTAAAGTGTAAGCTACTTGGGCACTTTTACACAAGTCTTGGCTGAAAATTCTGTGTATTCTTTGTACTTTTCAGATGGTGAGAGGATGATTTTTAGCCTGTGTTTTCTTGCAGGTTTGCACTTG